TAACGCATCAACAAATAGGGGCAGAAATGCAATGCTCTGGGGACATGATGATTTTGCCACATATATTCAAACACTACCAGTTCGTCTTTTATGACGTTAGAAAATCCTAGCTTTGCGCGTCCGTTTTTAAACATACCATTGCTTCAAAACCTTCAAATTATCGACAGTTTTTATTGTACCTTCTCCAAGAAGCTAGTAGAATTAAAGGGGAAAATTGTTGAAGCTGTTCTAAGCCTCTTACCCTTGCTTATTTCATCCTTTCTTTTTTTGAAGGAGCGTCTATGGGCCTGTTTACATGGGGGTGGGGAGCCCCAGATAGATGAGGTAACTTGTGGCTGGTCACCCCACTTATCATGTAAACGTGATTCAATTAAAATGAGAGATTATATGGACGGGCGGGTTACCCCACCAAAGCGGGTTACCTCACCTACCTGGGGTCTCCCACCTCTACGTAAAAAGGCCCTATGTGTCCTTCTTCAGTTGATATCATTGCGATTGATGATAATAATGATAGCAACCCGCGACATCTTCCAAATTTAGTCCGTGATTGCTGCGTACAAGAACAATTTGCCTGGGCATTTAAGCCAATCAGAAACGGAGAGATATTTTGAAAAAATAATAAATCCTGGTGAAAGATCTCATGTTGGCTGACAACGGATTACATTGTTTTTGTTTTTCAGATTAAAGATGCGATGAAAATAGGCGTGGTTGGTGGAGGAGCAGTTGGCGTGGAGATAGCGGGTGACATTTTAGAAGACTATAAGGACAAAGCGGATGTTTATTTGATACACCCAAGAGAGACCTTGGTCAACAATAAGGTCAACGATTCTTTCCAGTCAGCAGTCAAAAACAAACTGACCAGCTTAGGGGTCAATATGGTACTCGGTAAGTAATGTGGTGGTACGGCTACACCAGCTTAAGCAGAAAGTCGCATCAGGAGTAGGGCAATGTATTCAGTAAAGGCCCATCTTTCCCAGTCGGGTTGCCAATCAGAACGCAGCATTCGATTCATATTACACGCGCCCGGAAGGAGCCATTATATAGTAATGAGCAAATATTGGATTCGGCTTTTGTATGATCTGAAGAATTACGATCTGAAAGTTCAGGTGATGACGGGATACGTGTGAAATGTACCGCAATTTTGTGCTGCTCTTCCAAAACAAGCAACCTTGTTCCCAGGGCTTCTCGGTTGCCGTTCATTTTTCTGGCATTTATGCTGTACTATCGACGTTATTTTCCACATATCGCGAACGTCTCTCAAATTTGGTCATCCCTAGCTAGTTATAAAGAATTATATAGCCGAGGGATATTAGTCAATCAGAAACGAAATATATTTTGAAATGAATGATAAACCACGTTTTCAGCGGACTCATTGTTTTCCTCGTTTGTTTGGAAGGTGAGCGAGTAATAAACATGAAGGAAGTAGAAGAACAGGGATATCGCAATGTGACTCTCATCACAGATAAAGGAACCAAAATGAAAGTAGACCTAGCCATACCCTGTACTGGCCTCAAAACTCACAGTGTTGCTTACAAGGACAGTCTCGGTAGGTACATTAGCTAGCATGCGGAAGGAACCTCCCAAAAATCAAGTCTCTGCGTAATGACGCGTATATATACTTTCGTGTAGGTTCCATCGAAAGACACTCAGTAAAGGGCCAGTGTTCTCCGGCCCTTACTGTTCCTCATACATTATGGTGCTGCTTGAGAGAATTTGTTCAAACATCAAGACATTAACAACTTTGGTCATCATTTCATTCATTCTCATGACCTGTCAGTTATTGATCAGGCAGTGGAGTTATTGTGGGGAGAAATTTGATGCTAGTCACTACTGGTGCTCAGAGGGTTAATAAACTCATTTTGACTGCACATTATGAGATACTACAATTGGAGCCCTGTGTCAATTGGTAGCAAGAGAGTCTCCTCATACTTCTAATTAATGTTCAACTCCCCTCAGCATTGTCTGTCTTCATTTTTTTCTTTACTGATTTTATGATCGTATGTCCACTTTGGGCAACAGGAAAGTCATTTAAGGAGTGATTAACATTTTTGACCGGCCCGGTGTTTAGCCTCTTATCACGCAGGCGGAAAGGCGAATGACGTTTCAAATTAAGGCTACACTTGTTTGCCTTTCATAGGAGAGAAGGATATACCACCTGTAGACATGCCTTGGAGAAGCATACTGATATTTAAGTAAATATTGTTCTGCTTTCAGGGGATAAAATGGACAAGGGAGGTCGTCTCACGGTTGATGAATTCCTCCAAGTAAAAGGCGTTCCAGACGTGTATGCTGTCGGTGATTGTAACGATTTACCTGAAATCAAGCTGGCATATGGCGCTGAAGTTCAAGGAAAATACGTGGCTGATTTGTTAAAGAATAAACACGAGGGTCAAACAGCGAAACCTTATAATGTTAACAGTAAGTTATTATGCGCTATTCATTTTTCTGGGTATTTATCAGAAAATGATTAAAAACTGTAGTGGAATACAAATAAATGAGTCAAGCGAGAGGAGAATAAGTACAACTAAATACGCCGGCGTGGAAGCAATCGGATATTGCCTATACTCCTAGGAAAACATTTAGCTCGTTTCATCTAGTGCTAAGATGCGCATTTACGGGCAAGTGCCCCAAGGGGCATTTTACACTGGTGGTTACTGGGATTCGGGCATGTATCCGTCATATACTTACCAACAGCCAGCGCAGGGGCCTAAGTATGTCTAACAGGGGCTTATGTAGTGCACAAGGACAGTGAATTGATCACAGAATTTTATAGCTTAGGTATGGTGGTGCAGCTGAGGCCTTCAATCCATTTGACAATGTGTCAGCAGGACTACTGATTCAGTCAATTCGTCCCTCCTTCAGTACTTTGTCAGGTTAATTACCATCGCAGGGTCTTGACCAATCAGGTCAACAACAAGAGCTTAATACCATCAGATGACATGATACAAGTCGAAACATTATCAACAATGTCCTTGTCCCGTTCAGGACTACACTCATCTTGTAAGTATCAGTAATGCCAGTTATTGTTTCTTTTTTAACAAATACTTTTTTCTTCGTGTTTCAGCCAGTGTTTTCATGGTTCTGTGCTGTGGACGAACCGGTGGTGTCGCTCAAGTGTGGAGGGGATGGGTCTTTGGAGACTGGTTCGCTGGAAGGATTAAGGGCAAGAGCGTCTTTACCCCGATGCAGTGGAAAAACATGAATCAAAAGATGCCCGAAGATTGAAGATCACGGCAAACTATTAATTTCGCAAAGATTCTATAGTTGTTTCCCTCCTTCTCTCTTTAGGTCAATATTATCATTGCAGCTCAAGAACGCATACCTTGGTCCAAGGGGTTTTTCTTGAAATTTTTCTCTGCGTGAGAGAGAGCGAGCCGCGGAACTGCGAAAACGAGTCGCGAAGGGGCGTGGAGAGAGGGAAGGGTTTTTTTCTCTCTCTTCGTCACTTGCGGCTCACTCTCTCTAAAGCGGAGAAAAATCTCAAGGAAAACCTCTGGGACAAGGGTAAAGATCGCCAGTACAAGGGCATTTTCATACAACGTTTCAAAATTTGTTCTATAAGATGTATAGATAGCTGGTCTTGTGATTGTAGCATAGAAATCGGTGCAGTCTTAATAAACGATTCTTTGCCGAGACTGTTGTCCGTTCTTTCAATGGATTCATTGACAAATTAATTTTTATCATCTAGAAACATCTTTTATTAATAACTGACATCGTTGAAGATCCTTTCGTCTTCTGATGAAACTACCAGACAGTAGGTATTTCCTCATTTCCAAACGGTCAAGCGAATGTTCGATACAGATTTGGCACAAAAAAATGTCTCGCTATACTTGTCCGGTTTGTTCATCAAGGTTGTGCGTGCAAAGGAAACTTTCATTTTCTACTTTCCAACTAGAAACGAGGAAAGTACCGATGACGCCGGAAAACGTTTCGAATGCTATCAGCAGGACCATTACAACTTGCACCGAGAAAACCCTGTTTCTGACCGATCACAGGTGTCGTAAATGATATTTACGAAGGAATATGACTTGAATACTTGTTGCAAGCTCAAGCTTGCATTTTTGGAAAAGCGTCTTTAAAATACCCTCACACACGTTTCCATGCTTTAGTTTTCGAGTAGAGAGTATTTTGAAACAACAGTAAAAAAGAAACAAACGAACAAACAAAAATATTTTGCAACAAGCAATTTTATACCATTTTGAATTCATTACTCAAGTCTTTCATTCATATGTCCCGAAATGAATTAGTTTGTAACAATAGTGTTTTATTGCCTAAGGCATTAACAAATAACGTTCGACGACCTCATTTAGAAAGGTTTGTTTCAATATTCATTTATTTATATATCATATACTCTGAGATAATTTATCCACATTTTAACTCTTGATAAACTGCGTAAACGCGCAATAATATTCTATTTGCTCCATATGAGGGAATCCAAGATAGCCCTCTTGGATTCAGGTGCTGGATTCCAGTCTTTGTCACTGGAACTTGGATTTTGGATTTCAATCGTTAGTGGGATTTCGAATTCCTTGAGCTGTATTCCGTATTCCAAAGTCCATGATTCAAGATTCCACAAGCAAATTTTTCTCGGATTCCGGATTCCAAAACCAAAACTTTCCCGAGTTCCGGAATCCCTTAAATAGAGCGAATTTTGTTTTATCTCGCTTTATCTTGATGTGCACTTCTGTTTGGAACAAAAAGGGGATGAACCACTGCTTGCTTCTCGCGGGATTTTGCCTTTGTTTCGTCTCCAGTTTTTGCTTTTTTGATTCTTTGTGCTCTTTTCTGAATTAGGCTGGAGCTTCTGTTACTGATACTGGATATACTGCTGCTGCTGCTGCTGTTGCTAGTGATGCTCCTTCTTCGTTGACTTTTTATTCCATCCTTTTCCTTGGACTTCATCACTGCATGCAGATTGTGTTTTTTCTTGATTTCTTGAAGAATTTTCCTGAATTAACAAAAATCAGACGATTTCGAAATATGACGTTTGGTCAACAAAGGACATGTGCATTAATCTTCTTTGTTCCCGTAAGTATATATAGCGAATCTACTTTTAGATTTAACACCAAGATTGTCGCCAGTAGCGGTAGGTGCTCGATTTTAACTACCTTAAGGAAAAGAGGGGACCGTGAACAGACTATTGGAAATTGGGTATGTTTGTGAGAAATAAGGTAAGGGTTGTGGCAGCATCTACCGCCAACAATCCCATGAGGAGAACAAACAGACAAACAAATAAAAAATTAAGTATACAAAACAAACAAACAAACAAACAAACAAACAAAAAACCGTTTTTTTGGCTCACAGTGCCTTACCTAGTGCTTTTATGACTTAGTTCTTCTGTTTCCTTTAATCCCTGTACAAAACACACACACACAAAAAAAAGAAGGTTAAGTCGGGAAAATAATTAATACTTCAAAATGTAAAAGAGTCTGACCTATCTTATCTTGATACCGGAGTTAACAAAGAGCCATACATTTATTGTTTTCTCACCTTTGAAATATCAGATACGGGGAATTCTGCACTTTTCACCTTTCATCATCTTAAGGTTTAGTGGTTAGTATTAATCACATTATTATCTGATTACTTTAGTATAAACATAATTGGAAACATACATTTATCAGTTGATTATTGGTTGTTATATATCTTGGGTTATAAAAAGTAGTAACGTTAACAATTAAACTTCTCATCTATAAATGGTTAGAATTCGCACAGGTAAGTCCGTTAACAGTGAGTTTAGTAAACAAACAATGAAACCTCTCTGATTAGAATGATGATTATTCTGAGTATTTGGAGACTTAGTTTTTCCTTTGAATCTGATGGTCTCTTGTAGCCTCAGATGTCCCTCATCTGTTCCTTGAACTGATCCACTTCTCTAGCCCGCATTGGAAATTCAAACGGACGGTTACTTTCATCGCCAGCGCGTACTGCATGAAGTCTCCTTCGACCTTCCAAGAATTTGCTGAAATGATGGACAGCGGCTTTGCTGGGAAGTTACCAGGTTAGCGTAATTGAAAACGGGAATCAAATACCGACGAGTGATTTGACAAAAAGAGGATGAGCTAAAATGGTATCAAAATCCAGTCATATGAAACATCTATCGTAATCTGGTTGCCTGATTTATATATTGGCAGATCTGGACTTACTTTAGATTATTCATATCATGATGATTGATAGGAGAGAAGAGTCCCAATGAAATCTAACACTAGTACGTTACTGATTGGCTTAATAGCAGTTCAATTACTGGTGATTTGCTTATGTCACGTTTTACTTATACGGGCGAAATAATCGGACATTTACGCTTATCAATGAACCACTGCAGTGGAGTATTTGCGTGGGGTGAAAGCACCATAATACTTGGAAAAAAAACTTGTGATTTGATTGTATTTTGCAGCAGACCCTGACTAAAATCATCCTTTTTGAAGTACATTAGAGACGGGTTTTATAGCTGAAGGGTTTATCTGTATACCATGTTAGCCATAGTTTATGTGGAATGGTGGAGGATGACGTTAACTTCAGTACAGAAAACGACCCTTGTTTTTAAAATTTGTAATTGCCTGCTTGGATTCTAGTGATTCTTGATATTAAGTCTTGCAACAAATTATATTCCATGAAATAAACAGCTCATTTTATTTTTCTTTTAGAATAAAAATTTCATCTTGTTTCTGTTATTTACATTGAGGCAATTCATGTAATTATAACAATAGATCACTAATCTGAAATAATATATAATTTTTCAATTAAATCTTTTGTTTTTAAAACATTAATTATCAGGTTAGTCAAAAAGGACAAGTAAGTACAACTGAGTGCCTTATAATATAATAAAAGCACGATTGGGAAAGATTCAGAGATGAAATACTAACTGCAGGATTATCTTCCCGTTCTTCTAAAGTATGCTAATATTTTTGAATGAGGAACAAGTTCATGTTTCTGTTGTAAAATGTGCCGTGATGATTTCCCACGTTCTTGTGACACGCGCGCGCGTGCATCCTATAATGCCTCACCCATCGTAATAGACCATTACCGAGTTGCCCCCAGCCTCTGTATCAAAGCGAGGCTACGTGCAAAGTAATTGATATGAAAGTGATTTTGTATTCTCATTGAAATAAAACTAATTTTCGCAAGAAACGTTTTGCAGTTAGCCTCGTTTTGAGTGAGAATTTTTGGAACTAGGACCTTTAGGCCTATCTCGAATAAACGGATAGAATGTCGTTGTTTAGCCAAAGCATAGCGCACGAATAACGTTGAGCATCATGAACAACAACAGATACAACAAAAGCAAAATGTACATGGAACAGTGTTCCTTCAAAATATCGAAACTCTACCTAGCATCTCAAATGAGTTACCATTAATTTTACAGCATAATTTGGGAAAACAACCAGGCAGTTTGAGGAGTACGATTTTTAACTTATCACAAGGCTGCAACTTCAAAGTTGCAAAAAGATACGATTTTCTTTTTTTTTGCGTTATTTTCTACGGTTTTTCCGCTACTTGCTACTTCCAGATAACTGAAGAATTTTAAAGCGAACACATGATCTAAATATCAGCGCACAATAAATCAGCTGGCCGTCACTGTTCCTTCGTTTAGATTAAACCTTTGATTCTTTTTGTTTTTACCTACTGGCATTTTTACGAGCCAATTCGGCAGTGGTGTTGGCGTTTGGTTATTCGACTGTTTTTCCTATTCAGTTTCACAGAAATTGACGTGCTGTAAGATAGGGAATAAAAAGCCAAGCACAGAAAACTTCACTACAACAAATGATCAGTAACAAAGGTACCCCTCGATACTGTCAACCACATCTAAACAAAACAATTCGACGGACGCTTCATGTAGCGAATAAAATTTCTCATCAAGGAGCTATGGAAATTCCCCTACACCCCAACGTTTCGAGGCCATTTAACCACAGGTATCTGGACAGAGTTCGGCTACACTAACATGGCAGTAACTAATTTTCAACTAAGTTTAGTCGCGTGTGCGCTCGCCAAAGCTATCTCTTGCTGGATCGTTAAACAAAAGAATACAAATTATTTGCTACTACGTTCTTACGTTACTCCTTGCGCGAGCTAAAGCTCTTGACACCAGAAGTTGAGCCTCTAACTCGGCGTGTTCTCTAGCTGCCACATCAAATCGCGATGGCTCCTTACGTGATGTAAGTGTTTGTAGTGGTATCTTTTTCTGCGGTCTTGCGTATAGACGTTCAGATACCGATGCTGCGTCTGTTTCATCCTGAGTATTTACTCTCCTGTCCTGTTCGAAGCGGTCAATATTTGCTTGCGCGCGTGACAGGATCACGCGAGCTCCATCAAAAGAGCTGGGTGGTTGCTCTTTTGGAATCTCCGGATCTACCATATAACGAGGGGATGTTCCGATGCTTGGTTGGGGAGCGGTAGCGACTGTAGGACGATTAGCCAACATGTAACGAGAGCCCTGTAAATGAAGTGAATGAAAACTCGCGTTATGATATTCTTAAATCATGAGGACACATTTTACTTCTTGAATACGAAATGCAAGATGCTTAAACAGATACACCTTTTCTGCCTGCCGAGATAAGACTTTACTGCCTATATCAAAGGTAATCGTGATTTTCCAGATGTGATAATGGCATAACTGTTCTACCCAGTAGCCTAGCCGTTGAGGCAGTAAGAGGCCAGGTTATCTAGCCGTAACTACGGTACGGATAACTTAGCCGAAGCCGTACACGAAAACAGTGTCTTTTAAACTCTCTAACTGCTGAATTCCCGAAAGCGCTTCAATACTCTTTATTGTTTTTCGACACCTGTCTACTCACCGGGACGGACGATGGCGGCACAGCTCGAGTAGGAATCGAGGAACCTCCAGGCGGTACAACATATCTCGCAATTGGCTCCGTCTTAGCAGAGGTAGGTCTAGATAATCTGGAAGGTCTGGCGACACCCGGATGTTGTGAGGCGGAAGTAGGTCGGCCTCTCGTCCCAGGTGGTCTTCCAATATAGCCACGCGCATACTGCGTTGGAATTAACACTCCTGACTTATGTTCCCGAGGAGACACAAAGCGAGTTTGTGGTAAAGAAGCCGGTGCTACTAGAGGTTCTTCGTAAATGTGCTCATCCTCGTAAATTGGCGGTCCACCGAAAGCCTGTATCGGCACGACGGGAACGCCATCGCTTATAAATTGGTCTTCGTTATCGTAGTGAACAGCATAGGGACCTAAATCTGCGAAAAAAATGGATTTATCCAATTAGTTAAAAAGGTCAGTTCTTCACTGTGAAAATATTAAATTTGATTAAAACAAAATTTTTGTGTTTCATTACTTCATATAGATTGTTTCAGAAATTTCTAATAATACCGGTTTGAATATAAAAGAGATTTTTAATTTATAAAGCCTCCGTTACCGTTAGTCAAATATTTAAGAAAGAGGAAACAAGCAGTTGTTACCAGAAACTGCTTTCCACAAAATGCAAGGCAAAAACTTTAGCGGACGTTGTTTATTGATTACAGATTCACTCCACAAAATTGCAAACAGATAATACTGAATTAATTTAAATTAATCGCTACTTTAAAGAAAAGTAGTTGTGGAGAAGGAGACAACCAAAAGCGCTAATGCACCATAATAGGGATGCCCCCACTACTTAAAATAAGGTGCTGTGTTTCAAGTATTTTTGTAACTGGTTGTAGCGCTCGAGCGCTTGCCAAATTCGTAGAAAACAAAGAAAAAAAATTCTGTAGACAGCTTATGCACCTTGAAAACTGAAATAGGCCTAAATGAATAAGCGAACTTAATCGAGTGTTTTGCTTTGAAATTTTATATACCCATGTAAACATCCCTTACGCACCTTCCATATCCTCGTATGGGTGTTCATCAAGGATGTACTCAGAGTTGGGAGGTCTTACCAGATGGGTTGGCATTATGGGTAACACAGGATAACCAGTCTCTAACAACTGATGAACACGATCTTTTTGTTGAGAACGAGACGACACCTGAAGAGGGACGAGATTTGATTAAGCATGTACAGGAATTTCTTTTCAAATGCAAATTGAAGGTTCCCTATACAAAAAACTTACTGGTCGAGGCGATGGAACATCGTAGCCTTGGACATCATCCTGTACATAAGGTGGTTCTGTGGTTGTTTCCCGTTTTAAATGTTGACTCTGCTGAAAACAGTCAAATCGCTTGTTTAAGGTAACGTAGTCAACGAGTAGAGAGTTACTTATTAACAAGTTATTACCCAGCTCGCGTACACAATCATTTCCCTTTGCAATTCACCAGAATCAACAAGTGGACAATCGGGTTTGCATCTGCCTCCTATTCCTTCTGGTTCGTTTGCTGTTTTAATTGTCTTTAGCATCAACCTTTAAAGGAATTTATTCTTACCTCATTGCGTGGTTTGACAGATACAAGGCGTACGCCTGGGGTTTCCTTAATTGTCCACGCTGTTTCTCGTTTTGTCTCTTGAGCAGACTGTCCTGTTATCAGGGGAGGTGCCTGAGGAGAAGAAACATGAAACAATAAGTCGATTCGTGCCATTTACTGTCAGGTGATTCGCAATCACAGTTTTGGGATAAATTATAACAATAACAATAACTATAACAATAACAATATAATTTAAAATAGAATGAGATAAAATAATTTTATTGAGGTATACGGAAACCTCAGCAAACGAAATGTACAGAAGAATTCTTTATGCAAGGTTTAGCCACAGATTCCCTACATTGTCCGACCTCATAAATACACTCCTCCTCACTCTGAAAGTGTGAGGCTAAATCCTGTAAGCCGAATTGACCACTACAGAAAATACCATAACATACCATAATGCTCTTTGTTTGTCACCCTAAAATTTTGCATACGCATTGTTTTCAGTTTCTCTAGGGGCCATTTTAACTCCCAAGAGAAACTGAAGACAATGCTTACACAAAATCTTGGGGTGACAAACAAGAAGCATTGTGGTATGTTATGGTATTTTCTTTAGTGGTCAATTAGGGCCTTTTTACATGGAGGTGGGGGACCCCAGGGAGGTGAGGTAACCCCATTAGGTGGGGTGAAAAAAATAACACTCCTTCACGTGCAATCTATCAACCCTGCCATCTCGGGGTACACTTCCTCAAGATTATCGAATGGTCGCTATGTTCACTAGGCACGTGGTCGCTATGGTCGCTAGGCACGTGAAAAAGAAAAATGCTGGCAAACCACCTGTTTTGGCGATTAATGCTCTTCTACACTCAGTTGCTGCTCTTGCTGCAACCTTCAGTGCTGCGGCTTTCTATTGTTACCTTTAATAATAATGCAAAGTCACCGCCAAAGTGAATTTTGCGCAAATTTGATGTATCATGAATCCAACCCCGGATAGGCGGGTTACCCCACCTTGAAAGGTTTACATGGCAACATTTGATCCGGGCTGAGAGGGTAACCAGGTCTGGCAGACCTGGCTACCCTCCTCAGGCGGGTCACCCCACCTATCATGTATGTAAATGTGATCAAATTAAAACGAGAGATAATATGGACAGGCGGGATACTTCACCTAAGCGGGTTACCTCACTAACCTGGGGTCCCCCACCTCCAAGTAAACAGGCCCTTAGTTTCTTGACCCCACATCTTATCGAGAATGTACGCCTAATCAAGTCCAATAACACGTGTGTACTTCAAATTCTTACTGAGCACGCTGATGACGTCAACAAACTGAGACCTCGAGATATGTGAGCTATAGCAATCCTCCCAAGTGCATCCATAACTCAATAATATACACGATGAATATGTCGAGATATGAAGCACTTGGGAAGTCGGCAGAACACTCGAGCAACTTTTACGCCTCTTTAATTCGTGCTTTTCAAACTTCCCGCGTGCTTCATATCTCGACATATGCACGCTGACGCATGAAGCAATTAATTATCTGTCAATTTCTTTAGTTAACGCAGACTTTAAAAAAGCTCATGGGTCCTAAAACCAACGAAGTGTCTTTCAGTATCTATGTACGTTGGGTTTAAAACTACCTCACTGCACTATCATCAACGATAAAATTGAGTTATACCTTTTCTTTCACTTTTTTCTCTTTTTCCTGCCGTTTCTTTTTCTTCGCTTTCCCTTCCTCTTTTGCGTGCCTGTGTTTCTCATCAGAGTCACTATCGGAACTGCTGCTGCTGCTGCTGCTACTGCTACCGGAACTCTTGGAGCTTGAGGTTCCAACTCGGTTTTTGCGCCAGCGTTCTATTCTAGACCTTCTTTTTCGTCTGAAAAAAAAGCGAAACGAAACAGAAACGAAAATCAGACAGTTGCACTAGTACGAATGAAACAACACCAGCGATAACTGGACCTTGCTTAACCATTTTTTCCCACTCTCACGTATCTCGGTAGTTGACTGATTGAATGGGTGTTCTCAGGTATCGAAGTTGCGAGTATGTGCCTTCGTAAAGAGTTCAGTCTTTCTATTTTCTTGTGTGGTTTCAGGTGCATCGTTACAGAAAATTAAAATTAAATTAATTTTATTTAAGCTCGATAGCGTGAGGAGTGGTTGCCCAATCTCCCGAACCCGGGTTTCTTTTCTTAAGGGGAGGGGGTGTCGCCATACGGTATTGACCGATAATGGAGTCTTTCACGCTTGTTGGATGTGTGTCAAAAATGGGTGAAGGATTAAAAAGCACAAGCCAAGAACAACTCAAGTTGAATATAGTTAACCGATAGAAATAAACAAAAAAGCAAGAAACAAACTTAAACCATCCCTCTTTATCACCCACAGCCATACATAAATGTTCTCTCATTTTAAATATCGCATTTTAAGCAGAAGACAAACTTACTCTGCTGTAAGGCTTCTTTGTAGGATAGCATTATAATCCTGCAAATAAAACAAACGTTATAACCAGGTCAATCGCAGGTGTATGCTAGTTTGAAAAACTAACGAAATGCCTTAAAACACAGTGAAAATTAGAAAGATCTGTTTCAGCCCCAAGTGTCCCCTGCAGGCCAAAGTCTGATTCAGCCCTTCCTGGAGCCATTTGAGCACAGTTTAGGCCAAAAAAGCTCAATCAAAAAGGGCTATTCCAGCCCACGGTAGGGCCTATTTTAACCGTGGGGCCAAATCAGCCCTAGCTAATTGGACTGTATTGGCCCTGATTTAAGGGAACCAAATTAGACCCAAAAATAGGACTTTATTTTACTGACTGAAACGGCCCTGTTTTTAGGGTTAAAACAGATCTTTCTGATTTAGAGTGTAGAGAACATCGATCTAAATTCTCCAAAAATAAATTTTCATTTACCTCTACTGTATCCTTTTCCTTTTCTTTCTTTTCTTCTTTTTCGTACTTTTTAAGTTTTTTCTCCCTTTCTCTTTCCTTCTCTCGCATGTCCTGACGTAGCTTCTCCCGATGTCGCATCTTATTCCTCCAGCGTTCCACATTTGCCTAAAAATCAAGAAGTATTGATTCTCCTCTTTACATTCGTTAAGGCGAAAGGCGAAACAAAACTCTCCTCCTCCACGTTACGTTAGTAAACTTTCCCCAGAATAAACTGTACAAGGGGGTTACATTTATTCAACAACTTGAATATATTTTCAGTCATCTAAGCTGGAATCTTGTTGCTTTTACATTGTTTACTAATTTTTAATTGATCGTACTCTTCAATGTGAGAAATAAGCTAAAATATTCTATCCTTTTATTTCAAGAAACTGCGTTGAAGAAGGCCCAAACTGGACATATCGTTTATTTGTTAGAAGAATCATTGCACTTTGAGCCTGAAAGTCTTTCTTTTTTTTGCTCTTATTTGTTTCATATCACAAACTTTTTAAGCAGATATTTTAATTTGAAGGAGGCCGTTTTTCTGCTTGGAAATGCTGCGCGCTGTTGCTTATTGCTCTGATTATGTTGTTAGTTCATTGCAGCGGTGCGTTTGCGTTGATTAATCACATTAATTCAGGGAGCGGTAATGTTGCAGACCCATTGAAGCACTATACTTGTACTCTAATTGCTCGGTTAATTTAACGAGTATGGTAACAAAATGTCTGTTACTTGCAAATTTATTTACCTTAAGATTAAGAACATCTTCGTCTTCATTTAGTTCAGCCTCTTGAGAAGCTGCTACATTTTGCAGCGTAACCATTTTCATTTTAGACAGCCATGCCTGTTGATCGACAGATAGCTTTACCATCATTTAAGTTCATCTTTGACTATCAACGACTCAGCTGAATGTTATCAGTTAGCAAAATATGTTCCGGTGGATTATCAAATTTTAAATTCAATCTTTTATCTTACATTCATTTACGTTTATGTTAGAAGAATTGTATTATATTTCAGTTAGTTACTTCTGTGTTGTTACAAAGGCAATTCACATTTTGATGATAATGATTAACTAATATTTTTAACTTCATTGTCAATTATTTATATCAGTGTATCATTTTTGTTAAATGAATATATATGTATATAATAGAAATAATTCACTTCATTTTCTTTTATTTCATTTTTAATGATAATGTGTTTATGTTAAGGGTTAAAATCTTGATATCGGTGCAGGTGTGTTGCATATACATCCTTGCATGGTAAGTTTTTCAGGAAGGTTATCAAAGAAACACTTTGAATTCCGTAACAGACGCGAAACGCAAGTCACCCACAATAATCATATAGAAGGCTACTTTGATCATAACTACCGCTTAGAGGTCGAGGACAAAGGAGGCTGGAATATTCTGAGTGGCGGACAATTAGTTTCACCATTTCTGATCATTACGCCTATGTGTACACTAGCGTGATTATTAAATGTCTAACACAAAAGTCACGATTTACCGGTGGCACACCCGACTCCGCAATGATTCGGTCGTATTCTTTGTTTTCTTTTGCGGCCACTGTGTCTGGCATGGAAGGTGTGGGACCAACAAGTGGAGTCTGTATCAGCGGTGGTAATGGGGTGAAACGCAAAGGAGGCTCTTGGCGAGTTAAGCTGTTCGCTAACTTCTCGTCTCTCATCTGTGGACGGTTTTCTACAACACCTGCTAAGTGCTTCATCTTGGATTAAACAGATAAAATGAAAATGTTAGTGACAACCGACACAATAGACAGACTTCAAGAAAACCTTTTTTCGACCAGGAGGAGCGGAACTTAGTAGTCAGATCTCGTTGAAACGCTTTTGTGAAACAAACAAACAAAAAACAAAGTTTAAAACGATACATGAAATAAATATAAATATAAGTGTATAAAAGGTATTTACACATTTGATGCCAAAACAACAGATCGAGCAGTTACAAGAGCTATCAGAAGAATATTCAATCCAGATAACAGTCTCTTAACAGAGAAGGATCTTTGGAACACGAATTATTGTATAATTGAAGGAATGATAAGGCCATGAGAAAGCAAGTCTTTGTTGAGGTAATTTCAGACCCAGGTCCCAGCTTTTAACACTTGTCTGTATCTTTCGTTGGTTAGGCATCTACTCTAAGAAACAAGGCTAGAGTTAAACACTGCGATATCCCAAAGATTTAATGTCGGCTGATTTTGAGGCATCGTTATAACAATACCATCAACTGACGTGATACAACTCACTTTGACTCTGAAGATGACTACCGCACAGGTTGTCGAAACGTCAGTCACTGTCAACAATATTTAGGACTACGTTCACCCGGGCGATCAAACTCGACCTACTTTTGAATACGCTACAGATGCGAATATATAAACATTACTAACATATTTTAATGTACCTCAATATAATCGCCCGTGTCTTTGGGATTCTGAACATGATGTTCGTGCTTTACATGTCCATTGGTATATATAATATCTTTTGTAGAATGGCGATTGTTGTTGATTTTGTGGTCGATTCCTTTACCATTTGTCCTCCTTCTGTATCTCTGATTTGGCTTTTCTGGGCTGTCCGTTTTCCCAGGAGGGTAATCTGGAACAGGTAGCGTGGGGCATTTTGGAGGAATGTCACTGCTACTTGTGCTGGAAATGCTGCCGAAAGAAACATAGATAATTGTATTTTGGCATATGTTTCAAGGTTTCTCAGGAAAATGGTACTGATTTAATAGCGTGTCCGAGTAGTGTAAATGTGGTGTGCAAGCAGACAAATTGTTTGAAGACAGAGGAAAGCGGACTTGAAAAGCGAACTGAAGGAAATCAAGCCATGGGTAACTATATTGTATCATACTGATAATGGATAATGATAATGATTAATGATAGCGATGATGATGATGATGATGATGATGATGATGATGATCATCATCATCATCATCATCATCATCATCATCATCATCATCATACAAAAAGTTAAATAAAACGAAACTAAGCTACAAACAATACAACAACAGGTTTTGTTTGAGGAACAGTTTTTTAGTAAGTGCCCTTAAAAATCTCATAAGCAGAGGGGACTTTGACCAAGTTATTAATTTTTTTTTTTTTTTGGGGGGGGGGGGCAATTTAAATCCTACTGGGATTCTTTGCAGCGAGAAGTCACAGCGTACAAAAACACCGCACTTAAGTAAGCATTAACCATAGTGGGACAAGGAGAAAATCACCAGGCTTAAATCAATGTAAAGGCCAATATCTCACACATTCAAGATCCCAAAGTGATACTTGCTATTTTTGTACTAAGCGTCTGACCAACACCCACTGAGTTGGCTCAGTACAGAAGCAATCTTATGTTTCCCAACAAAGCTTTCCACACGTGCAAACGAACAAACCTTGGACGCTTTTTCTTCCCAATTCCTAGTGGCGCTGGAGTAACTTCATGAGAAGGCAACACTTTAATCTCCAGATTTTTATATGTTGGTCCCTGTACAAAAAAAAACATACACAAGCTTCCAATTCAATAACTGCAAAAAACAAGGAAACTTATCACACCATTAATAACGGTTTTTACGATAAATCAAAACTTTTAACAGTGTTCTTATGATGTTGATCGGCCATTTGATGGCCTACAGTGCCATCACAGTATCTTGAAAAATCTCTGGCGACTATGACCTTCAAACAGCGCCTGAGTAAGCCGCTAATATATGAATTACTGTGAGGGAAATGGAAAAAAAAAAAAACCTTCGAATACCCTTTTTACTTTTTTAAAATTATAAAATTATAAGTTTCTAAGACAAACTATGAGTCCCATCTTATCTTTGAGGTATATATAAACGTTTCCCAATGCTGAATTACAAAGAATTCTTTAGAATCTCATCACTTCACTTTTTTCCACCAGAAAAAACGACTTGACGAGTTAACTGAGCAAATTTCTTACTTCTACCCCCTCTTTAAAGAGAAAAAATTAACAACTATAAATGTCAATTTCATTGAAGGTAAGGACAACACTCGACCGAAACTTTTGAGTTTTGTACCTTATCATGTGGTTTGACCTTTAGTCGTTCTCTCTTTCTCTTTGCAGCGCACTTCGCCCAGGTAAATGCAAGAATAAGAAACAATACCACCACAGTAGGGACAATAATAGCAGGAATCAATATATTCCACTTCGAGGAACTCGCTGTGGGCGTGGGTGTGACCGTAATGTCTTTAACGACATAAGGACGTAACGTTACCTGAAATGAAAGAAACACGGTACAGCATAAAATAATTATGTAACCAAGGTGTACAGAAACTATTTAGGCCACAGTATATCATGGTTTCTACATATACATCTAGAGAAACATTAAGCCTTATCAACTGAGTAAGGAAGATCGGCCACCGAAAGGGGGGTTGAGAAGGGGGAGATCCCAACAGATGGGCATTGATAGCCCGTGTAGAGCCGCCCCTCCCAATAGACAAAAGGGGAGAGGGTGGTTGATGTGTTGAAAAATATTTTAACCTTTTTCAGATATTCGCTTGTTATCCATGTTCATCGCCTTTATTATTTAGGTCCACCATCCATTCGTCATAGTTCACAGTTTTCTACTGCACTAAGGGTTCCTTGGAAGACCATTCTTATTTTCCACATGGCTGCCTTTATCCATATTAGATGAGGAAAAAAGTTATAATAATAATTTCCTACGTAGTAATACAAAAATCTTTAATTCAGATGTAATAAACGAACGTCGCCTTACCGCATATTTTAAAGTGGACACCATTTCACCCTCAGTCAGCCTGTTCATCGTTTCAACAACTGTCTCTGCAGATAACATGTTAGGCCCATCAAATATTCGATATTCTATATCCACAAGTTCATCTCCAACGATCGGCTTTGCTCGTCTTATAGCTTCAACCTGCAGTAATAAAAAGCAAGTACAGAAACAGTCCATCAACATAAAGTCAACGCGAAAGATGTCAAAAATAGATAATCCAATGGCATGTTAATCGTTGAAAATATATCCGAAACTGAAAATAAAAACCTGGTCATGATCGCGACACACATGACTTTAATCCAGCATAGTTAAATATCGTGCCCCTGAGGCATCAAAAACGCGAAAAAACAAATCCTAATTTAATCCTTGCACTCCTAAGGGGGGCCAATGTCAGAATTCAACAAAATTTTCAAATTTCATTTTGTAAAATGTCAAAAAAACAAATATTTCTATGTGAAAGTATTAGCCGAGACTAAGAGGATTTAATTGAATGGCCATAATATACCAGACTCTATTACTCACTGTGGTAGTAGAAGGATAAATAATTTAATGATTAAAAAACTACTGAAGAACCGCAGTTCTTACCAGTGCAACTATGCTATCAATTTGCCGTCTGTAACGTCGACTTTGCTTTTCATACACTTTGAACGCAGCACTTCTTTTCCACGATTCGAAGCTTCTAATGTCCCAACCAGCGAAAAACTCAAGGTGTCGTTTTTTGCGTCCAGTTCCTTTCTCCTGACCCCTTCTGTAAGCTGCGGCGAGTCGTAACTCAATGTTCTCGCGGAAAGTGGAATTCGTTTCATCCTCCGTCTTCGGGACAAGAATCTGTAAACCAACGAGACCTTCAGTGTTGTTAGCGCCAGCAGTTGGACGAAGAGGCTCAGTAGGGTCCACAGTTGCTGCGGCGGTTGATGAAGTCCTTGACACTAAATAGCTTTTTTCTAATGACGTTGCTGTTGTAACATCTTTAGTGATCCTGAGTGACACACTGATTGACGACAGTGGCACTGTTTTGGTAACGAAGCTGGCCTGGCTTGTTTCTCTGACGACAACACCAGATGTCCTTGTAATGGTAGTTTTTGAACCCCTTAAAGTAGTAACTGGGAGTTTGACGGTTGTCGTCATAGAAGTAAGTCTCGCAGATGAAAGTAGTAATGGTAACGATGAAGATTTTGCATGCATGGGGTGGGATGATCGGTCTGAAGACGTCAACTGCTCAACACTTGGGACAGGTGATTCCTTTGAAGTTCTTAAAGTGACAGGCACTGGGCTTAAGTCAACCACAGAAGACGAGTCTATCGTAACCACTGACGTTAATGGTGAGGATAACGTGAACATACTACTTTTAGTTACGTCAACCGAACCTGTTCTAAGTTTACTACTTCTTGACAAACGTAAAGGCGTCGACGTCAACACGAGGGTGCTTTCGGCAAAAGTAGTGCCTTGGGGCGATAGCAGCACATCGGTCCCCAAGGTGAAACTTTCAATACTTGAACTATTAACCTCTACTGAGGACACACCAATGGCCGAAGAGGATACAAGAATGTCAGAAGGAGTAAAAGAGGGAAGGATGGGACTGGTTTTCGGTGTGAATGTGTGAATGGAAGAGCCAGTTGCTACTGAATGGACTATGCCACCTGATTTTGCCGACGCTGTACCCATGAGTAAGCTTGAGGGAGAACTCTGCAGCGTGTTGGTAAATGTTCTTGCTATCTGAGACAATTCCGTTGAGAAAGCAGGTGAAATATTTCTGCTCGAAATTGCGTCTGTTACTGATGTTGTTGAACTCAAACTTGCACTTGACTTGTCCAAGACGTATGAAATATTACTTGTCGAAGGAATTGAAACTGGCGTTAGTACAGTAGACCCCAAATCGTAAAACACCGATACTCCGGAAACTGGAGGGATCTGAAGAGATTTGCTCGCAGGTAATGAAGTAATACCAACTATGTTTTCGGACGTTTTTGATCCAGAAACTTCTGGTGTCGGGAAATGACTTCTATTTAACGAAAAACTCGTTGCAAGACCGTCGCTTGATAACTGTGCAGGCGAAGAAGAACGAAGACTTGATGAAGGAGCAGTTGTCTGCATTAAACTGTGCATTGTGGCTCTAGAAGAAGCATGCTTTGCCAAAGTACTAGTTGTAGCAGTAACAAATGTTTTCTGAGCTGAATCTTTCCTCGAGGAGGAAGTACTTAGTTGTACAGACTGACTAGAAAGGCTCCTCTCAGAGACAAAATCTGTGACACGAGTTGTAGGATATTGATTTGAAGAAAGGTTTGCAGTTGCTGCTTCTCGGGTGGTCACTTGTGTAACTTCTGCCGTGTATAAAGGAGAACTATTGTTTGAAACTGATAGGATTGACACCTTGGCAATTGAAGTTATTACGCCTGACGATGGGGTGAAAGGTGATCTTAAATCTGAAGACACCTGTAAAGGCACACTTGACAAGAGGGACTCACGTGGTGACGTCGAGACTGAAAAGGGCGTTTTCGAGACATTGACACGACTAGTGCTAATGGGGACAGTAGTTTCATTCAAGAATGCGGACCTGGTACTGGCTTGAAAGGCGCTTAAGGTCAAGGCCGTGGGTAGTGAAGAACTAATGTTTAAAAAAGGTAGGCTTGACACCTTGGCACTTGAAGTTGTAAAGTTCGCTTCCACCGTCCTGTTAGAAGCAAGGATTGAAGTATGTGTTGCCTTTGTAGTCACTGAACCTGAAAAACGTGTTTCACTTTCTGGTGATGTCCTCGCAGACAATTTATCGCTTACCAACGAGAAAGTTACACTTGATCTTGAAGAAAATTGCCCTGAAGCGGAGGCATCAAAGTGAACTGTGAACGAAGATGGGCTACTGCGTTTGCTCACCATGCTCAGAGAGGTCGCGTGGATGGTACCATTGCTCCAGATACTTGAAGGCATGTATAATAGACTAAAGCTAAGCCAAGACCCACTTCTTGAAGTTTGACTTGACGCTAGTACGGATAATCGCGACAAGTAGCGTGAGGAAGTAATTTCGGTTGTCATGGACGAGGTTGTTTGGCTTCGGTTTGCAAATAAGGTTGTATAATGACTCGTAGATACGCTTGACAAAGGATAAAAAGGTGATCTTGAAACTGAAGACACCGGTAAAGCCACACCTGACGACGAAGTCTCATGAGGTGACCTCGAAACTGAAAAGGGCGTTTTTGAGACACTGACACGAACAGTGCTACTGTCGAGAGAACTTTCATTAAAAGATGTGGACCTAGTACTGTTGATCGTCCTGGACATTCCAATCAATGTTAAAGTTGCGTTAGCGCTTGCTTGAAAACGGCTTAAACTCAAGGTATTGCTAGGCGCAAGAGAAAGTCTTGAGCTACTATTTGTGTAACTTCCGTAAAAGGCTGGTGACGAGCTTGACACAACTATAGAAGAATCTGACGGTGATGAATTTGTACTTGCTGTTGAAGCAAACGTACTGAACATTGCTGAAGACGGCAAAACTTCGCTCGAAGCAGTGTTGGAACTAACATCAAAAATCGTTGAAATCGGACCAGCAGCGATGAATGAAGATGACATTTGAACAGAGGGAGCACTCGCAAAGGCACTACCCCTAGCTGACGTTAGCGATGAATTTAGAGTCAATACGCTCATTGTTTCAAGAGTTCTGTGTGTTCTTGTCGAGTACGCCACAACTGACACACTGCTTCCGTTGAAAAAGCGAGACGACGCGATCAATGATATTGTTTCTCCTAAAATGTGGCTCGTTGGAAGCGGTTGTAAGGACTGCTTTGTTATTGCCGCACTTGCACTTTGCAAAGATGACGTCACTTTTATCGTGGAAAAGGAACCTGGGATACGCAAAGTTTGAGTGAATGACACTCCTTCTTTTGACAATGACACCATCCCAGCTGTCGAATTTTGAATAGGTACAGTTTCACTCTTCAGTATTGACGAGGGAAAAACCGTAAATGAAGTCATGCTTAACATTAAACTTGATGTAAAATAAGTTGTCAAACTCTTGAAGAAAGAAGACATCGCTGGCAGTGTGAATGTAGAGCTTTTAACAATTGAACCTGATGGCGTCGGTTCGATAATCGACAACGTTGCATGTCTACCAGAAGAGTTAACCAGGGTTGCAGTCAAGGTAGAATTGAGCGTCACTACAGAGCTAGACTTTTTCACTTCTGACAAAGAAACGTTTGTATGTGAACGTGTAACATATGTAGTAAAAAATGATGACGGTAAAGTTGAAGTCAACGTTAACGATGACGGTGAAGGTGAAGATGACGACACCTCAAGGGGGCTGGTTATCATTTCACTTGACAATGACGTTTGCAAAGAATTGATGGCTGACTTACTCGCAGAAAGTATTGTTGAACTTAATAAGGAGCTCAGTGCTGTTAAGCTTGAAGTAACTACATGAATACCACTCGATGGACGTATTCGCGATAAACGCGTTGTTACCATATCTACCGACGGCACTACTGTGGAACTTTGTGTTCCTGATTTATTCAAATGCTTCGATGACGTCAATGATTCGCTTTTTGTCGAAAGGGGTCTTGATCGTTGGGTTGATGTCAACGAACGAATTATGGACGGTAGCTGACTCTTACTAGCTAATGTTAAAGATGTTAATAAAATTGTCGGCATAGCTGAAAAGGCCGTGGTTAACGACAACGAAGCAATTTCAGTACCTCGTACAACCTGTAAAGAGAGAAAAGATTCAACAATAAGCTTACATTATCTTCTCTAGTCTGTAGAGATTGTCGACACAGGATAGCAGAAATTCTTTACAACTTACCAATTAAAATAGCCAACTGGCAAGAAGTAAACCAGTTGGCTTTTTACAAGCATGTTTGGGGAGCTAAACTTAGGACTAACAAAATAGAAATCCAGATAATGTCCAGAGCGGTACTCGAACCCAGACCTCCGTGTGAAGCTCCGGACACTACAAATGATTATGGAGTAGTGGGTAATTTTCTTGAATGAGAAGTGAAATATAAACTGCTATTCAATGAGTGAAGTCAAGAAAGTAAGACATTATAGAAGATGAATACATAAGCAACCTCCCCCGGCAAGTCCACGCCTGCACGAAATTCCAAACCTCAGTTATTCGTCGAACTATTTCACTGGAATTTTTGGAGCTCAATATGCCGAACTAGTGAACCAAATGATTTATCAATATGGTTGCTGAACGTAAGTGGTGAAAGCCACTGAAAATTTCCTAAATGACTTATTGTCTTTATCTTATCTTATTATCTTAAATGACGTAATAAGCATTCACATATTTAAGCATATTTCCTATTATAATTTAACTACTTAAGTGGCTAAAAACTAGTAGAGTAGACGGTCTCACTAAGGATAAGGATATCGCTGATACAATTTCAAGGAATGGCGTTGTTGTAAAACCTCCTGGTTGATATAAAACTATTTTCTGATGACAAAAACACTTACTATGGATCCTTCTGAATGACCAAACGAGATTATAGCAGAACTCGCCGAACTTCCACTGCTGAGGTGCGTCACGTTTACCGTTTTCAGTGATGTAGACATTGACGAACGCGTAGCTGTAGTTACAAGACTCGTGAAATTAACTCCTGACTTGAGTGACCGATCCGAAGAAACAGACGTTAAATAGGATACTGTCGCCGGAGAAGTATTGCTTGGGAGGGACATTTGTGGCGAAGGTGTCGACGAGACACTTACAGATGACTCTACAGCTGTTAACATCTGACTCGGTGGCAAAGATTCGGAAGCTGCCGTTTTATTCGCAACTAAGGGAAAAAAAGTAAAATAAATGACAATATATTGTTTTTTATTTTAGGCAAGAATAAAAACAAAAATAGTAAAATAACAACTAAACTAATTAGTGAAACTAAGTGAAGATGGATTGGGCAGAGATCACCCTACAACTACAGTCTCAGTAAAAATTGTTGGGACACTTTGCTGTCTTCTTGGCCTTTCAATGTTGGTGTACAAGATTTGGTAAGTTAACTTTGATAACCAACATTAGGAGGACGAGGAGATGGGCCAGAAGTGAAAAAACAGCGTTGGGTGGAAGTGTCCCATCCTATTTTTGTCTGAGACTCTAGCTGATGCCCGACTGAGGGAGGAGTCTTTTTTCTGAGGAGGATTCACCATGCTATACAACTTTCAGGGTTCGTACAGTTTTTTTTTTTCCAAAATTCAAGACTTTTTTCGAAAACAATAATTTCTTTATCAAGACTCAAGGTTATCAAATAAGTGATCAATAAAGACCTTAAAAAAGGGAGGAACAAAGCTTCAGCGAATCTTCCATGATGAGCTGCAAACTTACGGTTGAGATTGAATAAGATTTGACCAAAACGAAAAAAAACTTTACTTCTAAAGCACTTCTTGTAGCTTTGAAAAAACAGAAAAAGACTTTTTACCATTTTTGCAGACTTTATCTCCATTTTCCAGACTTTCGTAAGGTCTAGAAAACTGCTGGGCAAATTTCAAGACTTTTTCGAGAATTCAAGACTCTGCCACGGGTACCAACCCTGAACTTTGTTTTGGCTATCGAGAATTATAACATAACAACGCTACCTCTCTTCTGCAATGCCATACAGTTAAGCTCTTGCAAGGGTTTAACACAAACCAGAGTTGTACGTTACCTCTTGTTGTAGAAGATCTTGGCTGTAGCGTGTAGCTGTAGTACGATGTTAACGTCCTTCTTGCATGGCTTGTTACGATTGTTCTTTGGACTGATGCAGAAACTGATGAATGCAACGACATTGTAGGAGAGGAAGATGGTAATGAAATGAACACGGCGTGAAGACTCTCTACTACCTGTAAAAATGTTTTTAAAAATGTTACTATATTAGTAAGTGGGTTTCGGTCTCTTGACTAGTATGGCGACCACATAAGCGCCTAACAGAGTGGTACATCTGAGTCATTCTCACTTGCAGGTATACGACAAAGACGTCTCGCCCCAAAAAAGGGAATCCAAGAAAGCCTTGACTTCTGGATTCCTCGCCGTAGATTCCGGATTCTTTGTCACTGGAACTTGGTTTTCGGATTCCAATTGTTATTGAGATTCCGAATTTTTTAGCTGTATATCCAAAGCCTAGGATTCTGGATTCCACTAGCCAAAATTTCCTTTTTGAGATTTCATAAGCGCAAAATTTCCCGGATTTTGGAATCGGGATTTTCCTTACATGGGCCAAGAAGTCAGTTGGCTTAAAACAAATGTCATGAAAACCCTGAGGCCTGAGGTAGCTGTGCTAATATGATTGTTCTTTGGACTGACCTCGTATCCAACAAAGTACCCCAGTGAGAAGTTAGCCTGCTCAATTGTTGTTACAACCAAAGTGGCATTAAGTGGTTCACTACCAATGAGGAGCTGAAAGGTTACGTTAACGTTGGAACTGTTTGAATCAGGCGACCGCTCAATCCTGTGAATCTAAATAAAAATAAAAATAAAAAAAGTTAAAACGACCGCAAATGTTATGCGTCCCTTTTTTCTTCTTCACTTCAGTTCCCAATGCCCCATCCATACTCAAACGAGCTTTGGTACAGCGAATCAGGTTTTCCGTTATACACTCTTTAAACATTGTTGTAACATTCTTCAGCTCCCCGGAATGACCCAATATGAGAAAAAAATGAGGAAAGGAACTTGAAAAAGATAGGAAAAGCCCTTCCAAGTAATAACATGGCTTTGCATTCCTAATAACGTTGCTCCATTGTCCTGCCTCCCCAAGTAACGCTTTGCTAAAAAGTCTCTCGACTGATTCCATCCTACTCGATATTGTTTGGGGTCGGAGTAAAGTTACCAAACACTTTGGAACTCCACAGTGATATAAGGACAAAGGACAAATAAAGGATAAAAGAGAAGACTGGTTTCAGAAATACGGAACTGACTACTGTAGCCCCATATGTAGTTACCGACGAAAAACAACTTCATGCACACTTTAGCAGTTATTATATTTTTGATAAGGAAACTTACGCTGATGTTAACATTCCCTGAAGACGAGTTAATTGAGCCATTTTGATAAGCAAGAAGAATTCCATCCTCCAAAGACTGTTTAAAGTCAGGATCGTTCACACTTTGATTTCGAGGAACGCTGATACCAAAGCGTACAAAAATTGCTACCGACGTAGAAAAAGCTGAGCTAGAAGTCGCATCGACTGCAGATACAAAGGTAGTAGTAACCAAAGGAAAAAGCTTTGATGAATGTGCTTGCAATGAAGATGTTGATGACCTATTTGCAAATGGTTCTGTTGCTGGTGTTCTAATAGAAGATAACAAAGTGGCGGGCACAGACAGACCACCATCACCAGACGTATTAATTCGTGGGGTAGCCAAGGTGGAATAACTTAAGGAAACTGCAGAAACGTCACTGGCAGATGGATGAGGCTGAGACAAAGGCGTCAGCGATGTTATTTTCGAATACAATGCTACTGTAGTTGTTTCAAATGGTGCAAAGGGACCTATACATGACGTAGGAAGAGAACAGTTAGAATGCAACAAGTTACCTAATACTGCTGTGTACAGGGACTGGGTTGAATTTGTATCAAGTCATTTAAACGTGTATCTGTCCTAGAACCTAAATTTTTGCCTCGAACTCTTAATTCTTATTCCCGGGAAAGGTGATACAACTGACAGAACAAGGGAAGGTCGATTGACAGTTCTGCATAGTAACACCTGCCATTATCTCCACGTTCAAAACGTTTAACCAAAACAATGTTGTCTAGACTAGTTTAGATACACTTGTACATCTCTAATTTAGTGACTTTACTTTGAAAACGAGTCCTCAAAGACAGCTTGCGCGTTCTAATGTTTAAATTACTTTTAATTTAGTTTTATTACTTTTAACTTACTTGACTTGCCGTGTGAAGATACTGGGAAACCTGATACGAATGTTTCTGTTTTTGCCACAATCGACCTATCAGCCGATTCATTGCGACCTGAAGAAGACAGAGTGCTGACATTACTGTCTCCTGACGAGGTAATGCGTGGTGTTGTAGTGATTAACGGTCTAGGGATTGAAGTTTTAAACTGGAGGAAACCTGTCCTTGTGCTCAGGGATGGCGTAGCGTTCCTGGAAACTTGTAGAGATCTTAAGACACTGTGTTCTGTTGACATATCCACCCGCTTGACTGACGAACTTGGTTCTATGACAAAAATACTGCTTTTCAACGACAACGACGTCGGATCTACGGAACGCCCTATTTCACTTTGATATGTAGAAAAATTTTCCATAACTGTTACAATGGGGCTCATGGTGACATTTTGTGTAATGCTGCTTTGGTATAGCAAAAATGAAGTGACGTCTGTCGACAGACCGTTCCGACTCTGCTCTGTTGTTGCATTTGGTGTAACATTTAAAGAGCTTGAAGTTGAAAGTACTATCATCGGAGTGCTGCTATTGAACTCAAAAGACGGTGAAATATCTACCAAAGGACGAGTATTAGGCAAAAAATAGGACGTTCCAGTCGAGAGATGGGGTGCACTGGACATTGATATGAAGTGCTTGACGTATGAAATGTTAGGAGATGTGGAAACAGTTGTTGCAACTAATACCATGAAGGTAGAATCAACATGTTTTGTTGTATTTAAGGCGTCCAAAGAGTATTTGATAGTTGAATTAGGATGTAACTTTGATTTACTGGTGGCGAGAGACGTTTGTAGCAAAAATGATCCTGTGCTCGTCTGCACCTTTTGAGTAGATACGGTGGAAATCATTAAAGAGGATGTATTTGTATGAGAAAACCCTGCACTGGTAAATAACGTCGAAAGAAGAGTACTTGTTTCAGTGACCCCGAGAGAAAATGAGGATGGAGACATATGGAAGTTACTGGTCGTTAAGTTCTCTTGATGTACTTTCGACGAACCGTCTTTGTAAAAATAAAGAGTACTGAATGACGAAAAGTAAGCAACTGATAACGAACGAGAAGAATGTCTTGAGACAGATGTAGTATTGACTCCTTCACGTAAACTCTCGTAATTTGCCGATATCTCGAGGGAGACTTGTACCGACTTTACTGATGATTGGCCTACAGAACCTGACACCAAGGCATGCTTACTGTATGGTAAAGATGATATTAGAAATTCAGAACTCTTTAGAGTTGAAAGTGGCTCTAAAGAATTGGATTTGCTAACATCTGGTTTGGTTAATGATACGTATGAACTATTTACAGGTGTTTCTGTCATCGTTCGCGTTGTGGAAAAAGTTGGCATAAAAGTTGTCCGGTTGAACCGAAGTGAAGTACCCGCTAACGAATCACTAAAATCCACAAGAACTACTCGAGAGCTCACTGTAACTTCATTTTCGTGTACCAAGGATCCTGATACAGATGGCGTTGCAACCGACGAGATATTATGTACGTGGTTAAAAGAGGAACCTGTAGAGGAAATGCTCACTGTAGCCACTGTCACCGGTGGTCCAGAATTCGCAATGGTACTAGTATCTAGTAGAACAGAGGTGACAAATGGGGTGGGCACCATTGAAGCCCCTATAGGCGTTTTCATACTGCTCGCTCCAAGAGATGATTTATTGTTGAAAAACTCCCTAAATGAGGATAGTGTTGTGATAGATGTAATCTTACTGAATTGTCTTGTTACAGAGATATTTAGAGATGCTGGAAAATATCCTATACGACTTGCTGATAGGTAAGACGACATGGATGATAGTGACGACGACGAAGGTGTTGTTACGGAATTTGACATCCGCAGACTTTGAGCGATTTTAGAGGCTGTCGATGAGGTTCCATTTGCAGCAGAAACTTGCGATGTTTTCAAGTGCATTATGTTGCTAGTGCTGGATTGAACGCTGAAATGTGCAGCCTGTGTGGCACTCTGCGTGTCACTGGAATATCCATTTACTTCTGACGAAGTGCTTTCCTTGCTGCTAAGGCCACTTTCAGTGGAGGCAATACTTTGAAAAATGTTAGTTCGGGACGGATTTTTCGTTTCTGTAGAAGGCGTTTCAGTATGTGGTTCCCCGAGTGAGCTGCTTGACATTTGCCCAGAACTCGGCAATATATTTTTCATTGATAGACTACTCGACGTCGCATTATTTTGCAATGTGGACTGAGTTACACGTAAAGAGCTCGAAAAGTTTGTTTCTATTAAACTTGATGCATTTGAGCTGTACGATGGTGTTATGACGCTGCTACTGGACGATAAACTAGACTCGATGCTTTGATTTGACAGCGACTCGCTGGTAAATAACGCCAAAGTAAGAGGTTCTGTAAATCCCGCAATTGAAAACGTCGAGGCACCGAGCAACGATCGCACACTTCTTGGTACGCTCGGCGTCTCAGTCGTCGTAACAAAAGACATTGCCAGTGTGATTGGTTCTGTTGAACCGGTGACGGGAAAGTTAGAAGACTGAAGTATGGTGAGAATGCCTGTCTTGTTTTGAAGTAAAGTGGGTGAGGATGTGTTGGTGCTATTGACTGAAAGAAGAAGGTTAAATGAAATTATCGGTTAGTCCGCTTTCACGTTAAATTTATATTAGTATATAAATGTATTTTATTACTATTGCCAAGCTTAATTTACTGTTGATACCAAGATGTAGTGTAGGCTCGATCACCGGTCGCTGTTTTGAGGACCTGAGAAACCGACGCAAATCGAGCTGAGGTGTACAGTGTTAGGTAAAATTATAAGTTGTGAAATATTGTAAGGTCGGGACTCCTTTACGGTAACAAAGCACAATTGAAATGGCGCACTGAAGAGATTCCAATTTTACGGAATAGAAGGGAAAAAAAGAAAAGATTTTATGGGCAATTTGCCCCTCACAATGCATGTTGTGCTGCAAGCTGAGAATGTTCGAGAATGTTTTATTAAAAATATGTGGTGACTCGTACAAAGAACAAGCTTCACTTGCAGGGCAACATTGCTCCCCTAACCTGCGATCAGGCGTTTTTTTTTTTTTCATTTTACCTGATCACAGGTTATTACTACCCTTTCAGCGGAGGTGTAGCATTATAGGGTACCATCAGTAGAAGATATGAAAAACAAACTGGCCTCTTTTAGTCGCTATCAGACAATATATGCATTACTCTGAAGCAACTTATGGGAGTGTTTCTTTTCCATTACCATTTTTTTTTTTAATCCTCCAGCCACCGATAATACTGACTGATTACATTATTACTAAGTAATTAGAATTAAAATTATCCAAACTCTAAGCTTAAAACAATGATTGGAACGGTGGGACGGCTGTAAACGTGTTAGTGTCAGTGCGATTATACAAGGTGCGGGTGCGAGACAAATAGCATTAGGAAAAAAATATTGCGAAGAATTATCATCGTGTCACACAAATAATTATAGTTTTTACTTCGTTTTATATTTTATAACTTGGTATTAAAAAAAAAAAATTCACGGCATTATGCGTAAGATCAATGGATATAGTAAATGCCAAGAGTATTGCACCATTTATTTTTAACTGTTTATTTTCTTTTCTCAGATTTTTGGGGGGAATGTAAAAAAATACGATCCGCAAGAAATCAGGGTTTTAGGGTATCAATTGCTCAGAAAAAGCTTCAAGTTAAGCATTTAAAAAATACTGTTAAATGAAAAATTTTGAATTTCGTCTTCGCGGTTTATGTTAAGAGGTTTAGCTGTGTCTAGATTAAGTTAAGTAGACGTTTATTCGTTCGTTTACACACTTGAACGAGTTGGACTTGTGATACACTGTATTGTAACTCGTCTCATTGAGTGTTCAACGTTGATTTGGTGAGCATCATCAACAATTGAGCCTTACACATGGGTCGCTTGAGTTATTTATTTCTGTTCCAAGTTGCCGAATTAATGTGTTAAAGATGGCATACGGACATACACAAATGAAAATAATTTCTTCCTCACGCGACTGACATGCATGACTCATTTGCTGACTATGCTTCATTTTACTCGTAATCTCCTTTAGCAGAACAATAATGTTTATAAAAACATCGACTGACAATTACCCGACTAAACAATCAGCATTGAGAACCAGACATTGGGGAATCTGACCTGTAGCTTGCAATGTATACCTGACGAAGTTTGGTTGGTTTCCCTCGTAAAAGTATTATTTCAGTAAAATTTACGTCGTTAGTCAGACCGCCTGGTTAGCTGTGATAAAAAGCGGGAATAAGCTAGTAACCGCTAGATCCTGGCGCTAAACTTCACATTATGTGATTTAATAAGTAGGAAAAAATCAAAACAGTGAACTTCGGCGTGGAATTGATATATTCTGATAAACACAATCGAAAATGTAACAAAGCAAATCGCTCGCAACGTAGAATTATTATTGAATCGCACTTACCATTTTGAAAGGAAGCATTAACTTGACGAGATTGACTTGAATACGCGGAACTAGCTGATGATATCTCGCTTGTNCATTATGCGTAAGATCAATGGATATAGTAAATGCCAAGAGTATTGCATCATTTATTTTTAACTGTTTATTTTCTTTTCTCAGATTTTTGGGGGGAATGTAAAAAAATACGATCCGCAAGAAATCTAGGGTTTTAGGGTATAAATTGCTCAGAACAAGCTTCAAGTTAAGCATTTAAAAAATACTGTTAAATGAAAGATTTTGCATTTCGTCTTCGCGGTTTATGTTAAGAGGTTTAGCTGTGTCTAGATTAAGTTAAGTAGACGTTTATTCGTTCGTTTACACACTTGAACGAGTTGGACTTGTGATACACTGTATTGTAACTCGTCTCATTCAGTGTTCAACGTTGATTTGGTGAGCATTATCAACAATTGAGCCTTACACATGGGTCGCTTGAGTTATTTATTTCTGTTCCAAGTTGCCGAATTAATGTGTTAAAGATGGCATACGGACATACACAAATGAAAATAATTTCTTCCTCACGCGACTGACATGCATGACTCATTTGCTGACTATGCTTCATTTTACTCGTAATCTCCTTTAGCAGAACAATAATGTTTATAAAAACATCGACTGACAATTACCCGACTAAACAATCAGCATTGAGAACCAGACATTGGGGAATCTGACCTGTAGCTTGCAATGTATACCTGACGAAGTTTGGTTGGTTTCCCTCGTAAAAGTATTATTTCAGTAAAATTTACGTCGTTAGTCAGACCGCCTGGTTAGCTGTGATAAAAAGCGGGAATAAGCTAGTAACCGCTAGATCCTGGCGCTAAACTTCACATTACGTGATTTAATAAGTAGGAAAAAATCAAAACAGTGAACTTCGGCGTGGAATTGATATATTCTGATAAACACAATCGAAAATGTAACAAAGCAAATCACTCGCAACGTAGAATTATTATTGAATCGCACTTACCATTTTGAAAGGAAGCATTAACTTGACGAGATTGACTTGAATACGCGGAACTAGCTGATGATATCTCGCTTGTTGAGACTACAAAAGTTGTTTTATCAGCACTAGACAAAGACGAAACATTGCTCTGGCCAGCAACCAAAGTGAAACCACTAACGAAAGCCCACAAGGTAAACAATCTAAACAGAATGGCGGTCAAATTTGAGATGCTGACGTTTCTGAAAGTTGATCTCGCTTTCTTTACATTCATTCGTGATCTGTTTCCAGTCGGTGTTTCGGACGTCGCTTCTGGTTGTTAACAAAGCGACGTTTCATTGGAATTGCCTATTCTCACGGAAGAAATCTGCAAATTATCGAAGACCTCAGTAAATGCACCGTCGACTGCATTTTCAGCAAGGCCATAGAAACGCTCGAATGACCTTAGCAACAGCATGTGAGTATTCATTCATCAAATAATGCTAATCAATATTTGATAAGCATAAATTATGCCCTCGGGATAGACGGCTATTGTGACATTTATTGTTGCAATTAACATGTCGTCAAAGGTTTTTCGACCTACGTAAAATGGTCTAATCATGCATATGTCTAGGAAAATTCTCTGAGGATTAAGCCAGAGACTCGAGTCACGGGATACGCGATGAATCATGATTTGACACTTTTAAGCGTTGTTTACTTTGCAATGTCAAAAGCTTTTCAAACTTTCAAAGATACAGCCAGCGAGCTCCCGTTTCCATGACTTCCGTGAACAAAACAACTTTTTCATAGTCTATTAACTCCTGCGATGTGTAGATATGATAGATTATTGAATTTTTCTAGATATTTCCAAGTATCAATACTAGAAGAAATTCAGAGATCTCCAACCGGCAGGGAAATTTATAATTCGATCATGAAATATAATCAGTCTGTAATTTGATCGCCACGGCGTTGACGACCTATCACGAAATTTTAAAAGTCCCACAAGCGCTTTCAGTCCGATGTCTATGTCGTGATTCTATTTGATGCTCTATTTTAAATTAAGCCAGGCTTCAATTTTATTTTACTTTTTTTTCTTTGCATGGTATGGCTGATGTAAATACACCCCCATAGCGGCCTCTGGGTAATGTAAAAGGTAAATATTAGAGAACTGATTATATTTTCAGCTCTTCTGTGAGCCAAATTATTTATTTTAATCCATCTAAAGTAATCGAAAGGATTATCTTAACACCTGTGAACCAAGGATGCTGACTTAAAGCATCAACGCCTGACCCCTTAATATAAACTGGACACACAATAAGTCAGTAGCCTAGGACCATTGTTGAAGCCACAAATTAATGTAATAATTGATCACAAATGTAAAAAAGCCCTCAAATGAAATAAAAATTGACCACAACTGTATTAAAGCTCTCAAAGAAATGTAATTCGAATTGGCCATAAATGTAATTAACCCGTCAATACGGAAACCGTTAATAATCGAAAGAGCGCCGCCCCTCTTTTGAAAATCGAGAAATAGAGCGCTGTCCTCAAACCACCCTGGCATCTTTTGATCATTTATTGCTGTTTTCGAAAGAGCGCCGCGGCTCATATTATTGTCCGACTTATATTGAGTGCGGCTTTCTCTCGAGTATATACGGTTTGGATAGCATTTGCCGGTGGTTTTATAAAATAAATGTGGTCAATTTTTATTACATTTGTGGCTTCAATGTCATGTTCCGTATTGTAGCCCGCGTAGCACGTGCCATTTTTTATTTTTAGGGTAAAGGGAGAAATATCGAAGACGCGCACGCGCGAGGGGAGGAAAGATGAGGTGTAACCGACGGTTGCGCCTGCTACGCAGGCTATCCTTACTGGGCGGGGGAAAAGGGGATGAATAAAAGAAAGAAAGTGGCCAACCCAGCAGAGGATTAGGAGGGAAATTTTTTGCATCTTTAATAGTCGCCTTTTCCTGAGCTCCTCAGCAAGTGGGCCGGGTGATACAATAGGGACGTTGAGGAAAAAGGACACAAGGACACAGAAAAACTGTTTCTTTCAGTCAGCGTTGAGTGACATGTGCCCACTCTAATGACTATTAATATTATTATTAACACTTTATTATTTTCAAGATTATTGCCCTTACTCCACAAGCTGATATTAAATAGTCACCGTAGCCTTCGTAGCTAGCGCGCGGGATTGTTGTGCCCTGGATAGTTTCGTGGCGGCTCCGCGGAGCAATTGAAGCGGCAAAGCCGTGAGGGAAACTTTCAATTTCGACGACATGTCCCAATCTTCACGAATGGCTCCACCGTCCGAAATGTGGAGCACTCGCCCACTTATCCCACCAGCTTCACAGGCCATAGTTAAGGAAACTTAATAAATTATGTTTTCACAATACTTAAAAACAAACAACATTTATAACAATAACAACATTAAAAATAAAACGACAACAACAACTGGTATCGTGCTTAATGAACTTGTTTTATCAAACTCCTTTGGTTACACCGTGTACTGTTTAGTTTGTAACAGATGAATAGTTTCTTTCCGTCTTCCAGTGATTAATTCTTAGAGAGCGGTGACTGTGATGAGCTGTACTGCTGTAACTTAAAGTGGTCACTATTATTTACTATTAAAACAACTTATTTTTGATGTAACGGTCAACTCTGCAAGGAATCGAAACATTAAAAATCTGCTTAAACCATTATGGCTAATCTGCATTATTCTACTAAATTTCACTATTATCAATTGTACGAGTAATCGAGTAAAACTAGTTTTGAAGGGTATATCTGTACATGTTAGTAAATGATTTTTGGACAATTATATGCGACGGACAAGTTTTCAAGTGAAATAACGTATTGCAACTTGTTCCTTTATCATTTTTCATTCCGTTCTGTGTTAAGAGACTTAGAGGCTGTTGAACCAGGGCCATTCTAATTCTATATGCTCAGCTGCGATATCAGAGTCAAGATTACCTTCGAATAAAAACGAATTAAGCCTCAGTTAGACGTTAGCTGAGGACCCTCTGACTAAGCCCACGCTGTTCGATCGATGTTTCCTGCGGATAAGGTAGGGATAAAAACCATGGTGTCGCCCCAAGTAAAGGAATCCGGATTCCGGAATCCAGAATCCGAGAAATGTTTACTTATTGGAATCCAAAATCCGGGGAAAATGTTACTCGTGAAATCTGGAAACCTGGGCTTTGGAATCTGGAATTGAGCTTAAGTAATCCGTAACCCCATGCACTCACTATTGGAATCCAGAATCCATGTTCCACTGAAAACACCAGAATCCAGTACCTGGAATCCGGAATCCGCGGCGTGAAATCCAGAATGCAAGACCGTCTTGGATACCCTTACGAGGGGCGACTGGCGGCGTCAGTATTGTCATAGTCTTCCTCAGAAACAGTCTCCGTAGATTCAAGTACTAGACTTTTCCCGCCTGTGTCATCGTTTTCTTCTAGCTGCTTTTCTTCTCTTTCCAAGACTGTCATACTTAATGTTTCTCTTTTATCGTTAGGGTCAGTTGGCACGTTGGCGTTTAAAAAAGGCTCATCGTTCGTTACCCAAGCATGATCACGGTGAACTGTCTGTATTTTCTCTTGATCTGATGTAGGTATCGGCGAACTTAAAATTTAGATAGAAACAAGAGTAAGAAATATATTTATTTGTTCCGTTTATGGTATTTACCCCTTATAGTATTAACCCGTAGGGAAACTTCACTGAACTACAATCTATGTTTTCAAATGTTAGATATTTGCCGTTATAATCGCTCATATATGTATACTTCGTCCCTTATTTACCAAAATGCAACATGAACATGATGTTTTTTCTTAACTAAGACTAAAGAACAAAATATTTAACTGGTTCAGCCGGACTGCTGCCTTTATTATGCACAACTGACTAATGTGTTGACGTTAACAAGGTAGCCCCTACATTACTTGGTAATTTAGTTTTTGTGGTAGTGCTCAGGTGGACTACGCATTTCAACAATGGTATTCTCTATTAATTATTCCGGCATTCGGCCGCCCAAAATGGCATTTAGTTCAATATTTCAACTCGAAAATTTCCGTCACTGTTCCCATTATTTCTCTAGAGCCCCCGATAATTTGAAGCAATCTTTCAGAAGTTATCATTTTTTCCTAACATTTTTTTTTTCTTTTTAGCTGTAGCCTAGTACTTACTTCACAGGCTTAACTCTTGACTTGGGACAAAGGCCCTTCTTTTTACAAACGTAAACTCCAAATCCTCCCACAGCAACTAACAACACCGCGAGCACTGAAAGTATGGCAGTGATGGTAGGTGTAGATAGTTTTGCCTCCTCTTGACCATGTGAACGTCCATGTGATCCCTTTTCGACGGTTCTCAAAGTTACAGTTATGTTAGTCACAAGATAACCACGCCAAAGAGTACCATTGGCTTCTCTTAAAAGATTTGCAAATTCCTGGTCATTGAATGGCGAATCATACTTCACCGTTAAGGCGAAATATACCATAACGCTTCCATTCTTAAAGGATGTTACCTCGACTCCCAATACATCCGTGTTATTGAAAGAAATTATGCGTATGATGATAGTCTCAATCTCATCTGCTAAAGTTTTGAACATCGTTGTGTTGGGGTTTGACAGATTGGTGTGATACCTTTTGTCCTTTATAATTAGTGAACCGTCCATGACTTTAATTGGAGTTGAATAATTTGAGGTCACCGGAGGGATCATTGTTGTTTCCTCCAAAATGGTTGGATATAAAATTGTGTTGTTTCTTGAATGTGACACTTGCAGAAACTGAATGGAGCTATATTTTGATGCAAGAGTGCCAACTGCAGACAAGTTTACTGAAAATGAAAAAGACTGCGTGGAGAGGGTGGGCAAAGAGCTGTTTATTAAAATGCTGCTGGATCTTCTGAAAGAATACTTTATTAGTGTCGACTGAACAGCTGAAGTGTTTAGCTTAGTAGATATCGCTACAGACGGTGATGTGGAGATAGAAATGCGACTACCATTAAGGCTTCTTACGTGGCTTGTAAGGAATATGTGATGAAATGATGCGTTATAGACCGAAGGTCTTTGGTAAGTTAATTGATTTTCTTGGACCTTGCTCTTTGAATTCCGTTGTAAAAAGGAAGAACTGTGTGCCAGTGGCTCATGAGTCACCAGTTGCAAGGTAGTATGCCGAGAGTTTATATTGGAGGCTGATATAAATTTTCTATAAGATGGTATGGCTGTGACGTTCATGACAATTCTTTTGGTATTTGAAGGCGTTGGTGTGTCTCTGGAACCTTCGCCCAATGTATACGAAAATGGTGTTACAAGTTTTCTGGCCGGGCTGGAGGAATTTCTATAAGATGGTATGGCTGTGACGTTCATGACAATTCTTTTGGTATTTGAAGGCGTTGGTGTGTCTCTGGAACCTTCGCCCAATGTATACGAAAATGGTGTTACAAGTTTTCTGGCCGGGCTGGAGGAAAGTGTTTGTTGACTGGAACGACTTTCGTTTATGCCTTTTGTCGTCTTATGATGCGCAGGAGCAGAAGCTGCGATAGGAGGAATCCTTGTGACTCTTAAGTCTATTGTGACCGTTGATAAGGGTTGGGCAGCCTGTAAAGTTGCGCTAGTCTTGCCTAAAGTACTTGAGGTTGCTGAGGTTGCATGAGGGGTAATAGTTTCTGGACGTTCGAAGTTGCTATGAAGATAAAAGACTGTCCAAGCTGACAAAGTGTGGCTATTCAAGTCTGAGTTAGTGTAACTGAAAGGTGCATCAGAGGTTATAGTTGTTGGAGTTCGGTGTTTTCTCTGAGGGGAAACCTTCGAGACGAATTGTAACGAAGAAGAGGGCCTTGAAAATAACGACACCTGCATTGACCTTGAACGAGTTACCGTTGCTTTCGCTACGAATGCATGCGAAAGAGTTCCAAGCCTGATATTCAGTTTGCTGCAAGTTGATGTTGTGTTAGTAGGTCGGTGAGTCATCGACAGAAGTAAGGTAGAAGACTTCCGAGGCGTTTGCGTTGAGACACTATCGTTAATTGTCAATACATTATCACCAGTGAAGTAGGGCGTGAGGATTAAAGTGTTCAAGGAACTCATTGTCAATGGACCGTCAAACGATGTTTTACCATTACCATCATCGCTTTCCCATGCTTCGGTTATCTTCGTACTTGTTATGGTCTGGGGAGAATCAGTTGCCGAACTCCCCGTTGTGCGTTTAGTAGCGAGGATTTTTTTCATTGTTCCCGAACTCTCTTTAGGCAAATGGAGAAAAGAAAGAAACACTGACGCCTGGGTTACATCTTTGCTAGCTATCGCGTGTAAGGGGGAAGAAACGGTTGCTGATGCTACCACTGTGTGTTTAGTAGCGTAGATTTTTCTAATTGTTGTGGATGTATCCCCCTCAGTTACCTCATTGTTTATAACGTGCAAGTGGGAAGAAGCTGTTGCTGAAGTTGTGTGTTTAGTTGCGTGGGTTTTCCTTATTGTGGCGGACATTTCACCGCGCGTAGTAAGCAGAGAGGGGAAAGATGCAGTGCTTGATAAATCCTGACGTAAACTGCTGGACTGGTCTTCAGTATGGAAAGAAACTTCGATTGCTGAAGTCGGTATTAGCAAGGACAGCAGGGCAAATTGACTCCATTTTACCATGGTTGTCGAACTACCTGGTATTGAAGTTTTCAAAGAACTTTGACCTCTTGACTGTCGTGGCGAAAAAGACAGAAATTGCTGTACCTGGGTCATTATTTGCGACCATGAAGAAAAAATTTTGGTCGAGGATAGGCTCTTCTCATTGCTATTTTTGACCAAGTGACTCGTCGACCGTGCTGATTCGGAGGTTATCATAATTTCCGATCGATTGAGGTACTTTCCTTTCAAACTCTCAGCTGTTGCGTTCTCAATACTGGAAAACAACCCATTGTTTCTCACCGATGTGAAGATCCTTGTTTGCTGAAGTTCTTTTGTTCCACCTCCAGTTTTTCCTGGGCTTGAGATTACGAAGACTTTCGCCCTTACACTTTTACTAGTTTTAGCTTTGAACTGAGGTGAAACAGTGACGATAGAGTTAAACATTTTTGCTCTGCTGTCTTCGATAGACCGTGACGCGGCGATGTTGGGGATAAATTCTTTGGACGATACCGGGCCTTTATGTACACTTAAGCCACTAGACGTTAGTTCATAGAATCTAGAGAATTGAGTTCCCGAAGATATATTGTTTTTTTCTGTCGTCTTCAGAAGAAGAGAATACTCTTGTCTTAGAAGGGAATGGGAAGGCGCGCTTCTTAACACTAATGTTGAGACAAATGGAGCGGAGGTTGTTGTTTGTTTTCCTGGTACAGTCTCAGTGGATAAACCCGACGACATTTGAACCTTCATGGTTGTCTGCAACCCCGTGTGGTCTAGAAAAATTGGCGATGGCCTCACAGAAAATGCAGGGATGTACTTGTTACTGGTTTCTAAAACTTAAGACAAAGTGTATCATTAGAGCACTCTGCTATCACTGTTAACAATATGGCCGCACATGCATCGTGTAGTAATGCAGGTGCTAAAAACTGTTAATTAAGGGTTCACCAGCTGACAGGTGCTCCTAAGCTGTATAAGAAAGCAAAAATTTCTCACTATGGCAAATGTGAAAACGGAAACACATTACCGCAATGTGGGGAGTAACAAAACCTCACTTTGAGGGCTTACAACGAATTGCTCAAAAACTGCCTCAATTGTTTGTTAAAAAAAGGATACTTGAGTTTCATAACTGCAGTCTAATCATCTCATTAAAGTTTTCAATTACCGGGACAGTTTCTGAACATTTTCGTGCTTTTTTTTATTTACTAATGCGCATCATTTTATTTAATTAAACTAAGATTCCAACATTTATACATAAATTCTTATCAGATACTAAACCTTATTCACGTATTCAGAGGCTTTGTTTATGTGTGATTACCAACATCAGAAAGAAAAAAAATTCTGCAGTGTAGAAAATAAGAAACTTATAATTACTTCTCAATTATTGGAAGCAACTTTGTAAATTGCTTTAAGCTTTTTTTTTCTCTCTTTTCCCCGTAAATAGTTCTATTTGTTAGGTGTCGGTTTTAGCACGGTGGTTGTAAGCAATGATATGAATCCCTGATTAAGCACTCTTTACTTTTGTTCTAGCTGGTTGTACAGATACATGGAGGTTCATTCTTAGGGGAAGGCTTAACAATTCATAGAGGCGAAATGAATCAATAAATCGTTTCCTACTTTAGTTCAATTCATTAATCTGAACTGGACAAGGCAATAAGGAATAACACTTACCCCTCAAAGAGGAATTACTTATGCGAGTCGCTTGTGGAGAAAGTGAAAAATTTCCCTGTAAAACGGTGTTTTCAACCAAGACTCCCGTTTGTTTGTCACCGACTTTTTTACTGTTACTGTTCCTCTCTCTATTGCTCAGTTCTCGCGTAATGAAATAGATTGACAATGCTCCAATGCCAAGCAGAAAGATGAAACCAAGCGTCAGTAAGGATACTTTCCGCCTTCCAGGCCTAGTTCTTTGCTCATCAGTGTCGGCAGCCGGAACACGGTATTTTTGGGCACTTCTTGACAAACTAGCAATATATACTTCCTCAAAGTCCATTCCACCAAGAGCGAAGGAAATTGCGTCAACTTCAGAGCTTGCAGTTGAACTACCATCCACTGTTTCCTCTAAAATACTCGAGAAATGGACCGATTTTTTCTCTGCCATATCTAAAGGATCTTTTCGTAAACTGACACCGTTTTTTTAGGTGAATGCTTAAAACCCCCTCGTTCACTATGACAGATTGTCATAGCAACAAAAATACTTTTGCACAAGCAACAGACCACAAAGTATGCTTAACAAAGTTAAATATCTTTTTTTCTTTTTAGTCTTGCAGGTGGCAATGAATTATAAGCCAAACAGGATCTCGCGAACGTCATATATGCTAATATCACCTTGAATTCAAAGTAACAATATTGCCTCAAACAAATTCATGAGGGTACGGTTGGCTAAAAGTGAAGTGACATATAGCTAAATAGACACCTTTCTAAGATAACTGTTTCAACGTTATACTGAATTCGTCATCTCATATGGGAATCGATCCGTAGCACAGGTGTAAACGGCAATTGTTACGTTATGGCCAGTTTCGTTGCCACGGGCGCAACTATATCGGTTGCAAGGCGGATNAGACACCTTTCTAAGATAACTGTTTCAACGTTATACTGAATTCGTCATCTCATATGGGAATCGATCCGTAGCACAGGTGTAAACGGCAATTGTTACGTTATGGCCAGTTTCGTTGCCACGGGCGCAACTATATCGGTTGCAAGGCGGATTAGTTTCTAAAGAAGTGGTGTTGCGTAGGTACGTGGGAGAAATATAGAATTGTCAGCTTCTCTGTCTTCCTACCGTGGCCAATCCACCTTAGTTATTCACCCCTTACTTTTCTTCACGCCATTTTCTTTTCCGCCCGTTTAGACTTTCCCTCGCGACCATCAGGTATCAATTCATTGAATAAACCAAGAGGGTTAATTCACACTATACTGAATAGCACTTGCACCGAAGCGAAAACGGTCCTGCCGAATAGTGCTTCTACTCACATACATAAGAACGGTGATTTCGGCGCAATTTCTGTAACGGAGCAAAGCTGCGCCGGGCCGATCTTGTAAATGGATCGTCACCGTGATCGAATTGGGTTCTAGCTGCCACTCTTCGTCTCAGTGTGAACAGGTATTCGGATCGTAGCAGAAGTAAATGAATATAGGAGCGAGGGATGAAACCCACTGACAAGGAGGAAAATATTCACAGTGAGGATTGAGATTTACTGCACCAAACCCTCTCGCCCAAATGCTCAAGCACTATTGTCGATGTGTGTGAACGACTTGTTGCAGTTGCTGACTTAGAACCGACTGCAACAGCTGTTTTTAAGGGTTCAAAAACACCGAAAAAAGGGCAATCTTTCTATCATGAAAAAATTAATATAACACAAAACAGGTAGTGTGCAAATCGAGATCGGGGATATGAAGTAACTCCTGTGAGGATATTTTTTGTGAGTTAAACAACCCTCACTTTCCATCCACTGCGCAAATAATTTGGCGCCCATAAAGAAAGAGCGTCTCTTCTCACCCCCAGCCCTATTCTCTAACCACTTTTTTAGTATTTTATCCGTATTTTTTTTTATTTGTCAGTCTGTATCAAACATTAGTATGATATGTAACTAAAAATGTTAACACTAACCCAGAAAGAAGGACAATCCTCTCGCCCGCCATTTTTCCTTTATTAGAGTGTCAAAGTATTTAGCCCAATTGTGAATTGAATATCTTTCTAACTGCAAGTTGTTGGC